CAAGCAGCTCGGAGGAAATGCTCAACTGTTTGAATGTAAATTGTGATCCTCGCACACTGATGATAATTTCAACACATTCTGAATTAGATATGTGTCGAGGTGATCTTTCAAACTCAGGAAAAGCGCTTTCTCGGGAGGAAACTGAGAAACTATTCACCTGTCTCTGTAAATTAGCATTCTCCCAATCAAAAAATAGGATCCGGAGTATTTACTAGACTCCTATAGGAAAAAGCTTCTGAAAAATAGTGTGTGGAATCATAGCACAGATGGGAGCTATTGTTCTATGGTCTAGCCATTCTTAGCCAGGACTGCCTGGTCTTGTGTGCGTAAGCCTATATGCACTCGTCTGCCTTTCAATGTACCTTTTGTTCAAGTAATTTTCCCTCTGTTAGTAGTCTCATTATTCGTAATGATAGAGTGCATCTTGAAAGATAGCAAGCATTGGCCATAATTGTGTGGATTTACACAAAGACGCGGCGTGTATGACTATACACTCGCTGAATAGTTTGTATGAATCAATTAGCAATGCTTACAAATGCTAATACAATCCAACTTGCTCTCTACTGTTTGCATTTAATGAAATTGGGAATATTTATCTGGCAGTTTTCTAAAGATGTTGTGCTCTTTCTTTATCACTCAGTAGTTGATGAGCCTTCTTCATAAATAGGTGTTGGGAGAACAGGAATGACTGCATCAGTGTGTATTTGACCTGTTTTTAGGTCATGTAGAGGTAAATTATTACCATGGTTACTGCATCAACCTGTGCTTAACTATTTTGATTATACTGTACTTTGAAGGGTTGCTTTTTTTGATATCATCAACTAGTAGGATATGTCTGTTAGCAATTTTTGTAGTTTGGTTATTTGATGTGTAAAACCATCAAATTCTTTCACATCATGGGACTTTATTTTTAATAGTACCCAACTAGCAGATTTTTTATTACAATTAGGAAAATATTAACAATAGTTAGTGATCAATATTTTTAGTTTTAAGGTAAACATGATGGTAGTTTAACTAATGTATTTATATAATGATTATGCAATCATAAAAGTAGATATGTTAGAATAAAAAATAAAAAAATAGAACTAGTTTTATTTTCAATATTAGGAGACAATATATATAATTTCTATTTTATCGAAAGGTAATTTGTTATGTTGTACTTGTTTTATAAATAATTTTAAAGATAATTCCTGATATGAGCAGTATAAATATTTTTCACAATAATGTGTGTGTGAATTACAGGCTGTTTTATAATGAGCATTAAATGTTAACATAATGTGTTGGTAATATTAATTAGTTGTATTGTAGCTGGTATGCCAGTAAAACAACACATGGGATTGGATACAATATTGATTAAGCTTAATTAGGTCATTGTCTCTCTTGATTATTAACAAGTATTATCTGCTTTAGGTTGTCCTCATAAGGACATTCTTGTGAAGTTGTTTTTTATTTTAGATTAGCACCAATATCACAGTGTAAGAAAGTAATTGTGAGTTTGTCAGTATATTGTTGGTATTTTTAAACTTTAGGACATCACTTTGTCCTTAAAAGGTTTTTTGGATTTACGTTTTTTGGGTTGTTTGTTTTTTTTGTATTCAACAACAAAAAGCCAGAAATTTTTGGAATGGTGTACATTCAATGATTGTATGTATAGAATATAACAATATATAATAAAACTTTTTTATTCTTTAAAGTACATAATAAAACTTGGTACAAATGTCCAAAAGTCTTGATAAAAATGGCAGATATGTAGGTGAAAAAGTTTTATACACCAGAAATTAAATTTAAAATGAAATGACTTTCATGAGAGATCATAATATATTTTCATACGATAAATGGGCGAGAAAATTAACAGTTTTCTTTAGATAGTTCCAATTTTAGTGATAATGTTTTTTTTGTGGGAGAATAATTGTTATAGACTAGATTTTCTAATAATGTGTTTCTAGAATGTCATATTGCCTTCATGAGATAAGGTACACTATTCTATAACTGGTGTCCTTATGAGGTTTTTGTGCGAATACGCTTTTGTGAGATTGTGCCATACTTATTGCTAGTTTATTACCATTGTCTTTGTATGTTTCTTAAAATACATTTTCATGGTCTTTGTGAGAAATAGTAAGCATAAAATCATAGTCGATGAAAATTAATGTTGCCAGAAATGTGATGTTATCCATTATTCCACTCCTTAAAAAATCAATAACTTTTATTCTTAATTCCCTATTAAAATGAATCATTGTTTTCCTTCTGCTGTGCATTATGCTTCTATACAAAATGCATGGTTGATCCAAAACAATACATAAATGGCTGGCCTAGGACGCTAATGTTCAACTATATTGCAATAATTATCTCAATTACCTGATTCACTTAGCTTTAGCTGTCGTTGGAAGAGAATTTAATTTTCAAGTCTCTGGCTCTAAGTGCTTATACTGTGTGTGTATTTGCCACTCACAATGCAAGTATTATTTTAGATACATTTTGTGTTCTTACTCTTAGTAGCAATCTAGAATACTCAACTATATTAAGTCATGGTTATGGAGGTTCATCATTTCAAATTAGGACGTTTGGTTTCCTAAAATATGAGTTTTTCTAAAATATGTTTGTTATATATAGCTAAAAAGAATTATTTTTATATCATTGTATTATTATAATAATGCTATAATATATTAATATTAGTCAATTTAATATATTATAATAATATTATATTATTATTATATTAAATTTGTATACTATTCATAAAAAAGATGATTTTGATAATTATTAGTCAATAATTTTTCTCAATCCTGCAAGAGACAAAAAATAGAATTTAAAAAAAATTAAAAATAAATATTTTTGTCATTTTTTTTACGTTAAAATGAAATATATTTTTAGCCATGTATATAAGACTTTTAAAAAGTAGTGTTTTGAAACAATTGCCCTTTGTCATAATCATCAGCATTATGTTGTATATTATAATAACCTAAATAGGGCTTTTTGGCTAATTAGTTAAAATATGAATTGCCTTGAGGCGTAAATGTTCAGTGTGTAATTAAATTTTTATCTTAATTACTTTCTTTTTCAAAAGTAACTCTGCATTGTGTTCGATTGCATTTTAAGAAGGCGAAGTCTGTTAATATAATTGCTGGTAACGTCTTATCTATTTTAGGGAAATATTGGTTCAAGGTTTGAGATGGAGCTGTATCATGTGTTATGGAAAGTGCAATTCGCATTTTTAATTGAAACTATACAGTACTTTATTAATTTGGAGAAGAAGAAAAAGATATGAATTTAACCATCATTGTCATCATCATAGTCAGCAACACATTCTCATACAGTAATTATATTTAACTTTTGTATACATGTTATATATCATTCTCGGAAGTTTCAAAATCCAGATCTACAACATAAATATCATAAAAACTGTGTTTTTAGATATATTTTTTTCTGTATTAACACAATTTTGTAGTAAATAATGCTTTTGTTCCTAGAAGAGAATATGAAAACAAAAGTGATTACAATAACAAATAATAACTTTATTTAGTTTAATGTGGGTTAAAATGTCAGAGCTGTTTTGATTAGGCACTTGACATAATAGTCATATTTTTATTCTTCAACCACTCCTTTTGGGATTTCTTTTAGCGATAATGATTTTATTATATTACTCATTTTCTATGAAAATGGAGGACACAATGAGAATTTGTGTCTAGATATATCCTGTAGATGACAGACCTTCAGAGTTCCCCATAACCCTAAATGTGGTTCTGTGTATCTTTTTTTCCTGTTGCTTGTAATTTGCCGTTCACCAGTCATACTCGCAAATGTCTGTCTTTTCTGATCAAGGCATGAACTCGTTAATGGAAATGTTGTTGGAACTGTCAGAATCTTACTTGCGCTGATGAAACCTGACAGTTAACTTGTCTTTTTTACATGCGACAACAAGTGTACCATTAATTATACGTACTGATTAGCCAACTGTGAAAACTTCCCCATAGGCATTGGTCAAATTTAGTCTGTAGAAATTTTTTGATGTTCGTCCTAGGGTGAAGCTAGGCCTAGAGTAATCAAAATTTACCTGCATCCTGTCCTGGTTTGGGATGGTCACATCCCAGCTGTTTGCCCAGCTCATGAAAATCTTTGTTATTGCTTTATCTTTTGATACACATTTACAGATACACTTCGATTCACTTTTTTCGTGTTGGTTTGGCATTCTGCTAATTATAGTGATATTCACAAAGCAATCAAATCTAAACCAGTTCATTTCATAAGACTTGTAGAAAAAGTTACTGTTTAAGCTATGGATAGTGAAAATAATTGAAAACTATATGTTCCTTAAGTTTTTTTTTATGTGGGATATGATTTGACTACATGTTTAAATTCACTTTTTAAAATTTACCAGGAAGTAACTTATATTATCCTGTTATCTGAAGCCAAACAATGCCTTTACATTGAATGAGAATTTAGAATAGTTTTCTATCTGAAAACTGATTGGCACATCTTCAACTTGGCATGAGGCCACCTAGCTATTATTGTTTTGCAGTTGTCAAATGATATGGCCATCTAACTAACCTAACATAATAACATGTTTGAAATTAATGACTTAAGTATGATACTATAGTAAAGCTGGGTACTTGCATTGTCGTACACCAAATCCAACTTCGCTCCCTGTGAGTGCTGCACGACGTGACACCATCTGCTGATTGCCGATGGTAGTCTGAATTGATCGTCTATCAAATGATCCATTGCACTCATGGCGTTGCATTCTCCATAGAATCGCGACAACCTTCAAGCACAGCGAGTGCCCGGCTTAAGAGAAGGTGTGGTTGGTGGATAAGTGCTTGCCTTCTAATGCCAAAGTGCAGTTCCACTTTAGAAGTTGCTTTAAAAATATTTTTTTGTTTTTAAAAAATTTAAAAGTAATTAAGTGTGTTTTAAATGGGTGAAATTTCAATTGTTGCTTAAAAGATAAAAAGGTGCTTTTTACGTACTAGTTGGTAAAGAATATTTTCATCTTTTTGTTCTTGCAGATAAACAATTAGACGAATAGTAGCAATGTCAGTGGATGATATAGCAGAGATCCAGAATGATGTCGGAGACAAATACATTAACTGCCATCGCTACTCCCTACCAGCCACTACCAAACGGCGGGCTTGTCACACATGAATTAAAGGAAAAGACACGATTCGGGCTACCACAAAGTCCACAGTCGCTTCAAAATGGAGCCATTCTGAAGGCCAGGAAAGAAAACAACTCCAGTACTAAACTGTCTGCAAATGCTACAATGAAAAGCATGGAAGAAATGTCTGAACAGGATCTGGATTGCGAAACTCCCGGAGACGATTATGGTGTTGAGTCCAAGCGCGATGAAATTGTTAGTTGGGATGGAAGCGATGTAAGCGATATTGAAAACTTTGAAGGTGAAATAGTTTACAGACCTGATGGCTCTGCCTTTCTCACTGATAATTCTGAATTGCTTGAATACAACGAGAAACTCGCAGACAATGCATCTAAAGGCGAAAACGTTAATGAAAACCATACCTCTCGTCCCCCGATTGTAAATTCGTTACATATACCTGCTTACATGACAATGAGAAATTTTGCGCAGTTTGAGGCCGATTTGACAAAACAGTACTCTAATCCGGTGGTTCACAGTTTCCGTGTTTACGACATGCGACACAATGATGAGAACAATTGGGAAGAAAATGACAGTAGTGTAAAAACTAAAAGTGAATTATTCACCAAGAACACAAATAAAAATAACCAGCACGGTGAAACATTGGAAGGACATGGGAAACCAATTCTCATGTGCTTTTTATGTAAACTCTCGTTCGGTAATTCCAAATCATTCCTTACACACGCTACAAGTGAACATAGACTGGAACTGAATGAGAATGAGCGCAAAGTTATGGCACGGAAAAACCAGTCGGCCATTATACAAGGCCACGGAAAGGAAAAATCCCCACTTCTATCATTCCTAGAATTAAAGTCCACCGAAAACCCACCACCATGGATAAACAGCTCAAAGCCACATTCTGAAACCAACTTCTTTCCATCACTGTTCCCAATTCAAACAATGAACTACAAATATCCAACAACTACATGCACATCTACTAAAGTAGTAGAATCATCCTGTAATGATACATCACCTTCACACAAGTTTAAAGAGATGAATGAAAGACACAGTACTGAGAATGATAGTGACACAGAAATTGGAGATCGCTTGGAAAATGGCTCCTCACCTGGTGCTGATTCAAATCACAATACACCTGTGTGTAATTCAAATGAATCTGAAATAGAATCTACCCCATCTGAGTTCAACTCCTCAGACAGGACTTTACACAAACAAGTAGAAGAGTTATACGAAAAGGCAAAGGAAACCAGCCAAAATGTGTGTGACTTTAAGGTACCTACAAGCAATGCTAATGAATTCAGTGAAGCGGAAGGTGCAAGCGATGATAATAAAGATGGTGCTCAGCAACAATCAATGACAAGAGACATGCGACCCGACAGTTGTGAAGGAACTAGCAATTTTGTATTCACTGAGAGTCCCCTGTCTGTCACCTCAAATCCTGACTCCGATACACAATACCCATCAGAAGGTGATCATCATGTTGCCAACAGTAGTGTGGAGTGCCCAAAATGCGACATGGTATTAGGGTCTTCACGTTCTCTAGGAGGTCACATGACGATGATGCACTCAAGGAATTCCTGTAAAACATTGAAATGTCCAAAATGCAATTGGCATTATAAATACCAGCAGACATTAGAAGCACACATGAAAGAGAAACACCCGGAATCTGACAGCAAATGTGTTTACTGCGAGACCAATCAACCCCACCCACGCCTTTCCAGGGGTGAGACTTACACTTGTGGCTACAAGCCATACCGGTGCGACATCTGCAACTATTCAACTACCACAAAAGGCAATTTAAGTATTCACAATCAGTCTGACAAGCATCTGAACAATCTGAAGGAACTTCAAAATGGTGGGGAACACTTGTACCTCCAGACCAATATTGATGTCCCGGGAGGGACCAAACCAAAACCGAAGCAGACATGGCGCTGTGATGTTTGTGATTATGAAACAAATGTTGCCAGAAATTTACGCATTCATATGACAAGTGAAAAGCACATGCATAACATGCTGGCTATTCAACAGAATGTCTCTCAAATGCAACGAGAAATGACAAAATTTGGTCCATTCCAGTCTGAGGAGTCGGTATATGCTGCTTATATGACGCAGCAGTTGATGCCAATGATCTCACCAGATGGCACTGCGGTTGACATGCAGAACCTGATGGCTCAATATGCCTATGATCCAGCAGCTTATGCTGCATTGGTGAATGGAATGCAGATGATGCCACCTCAGCAGCAACAGGAAGAGTACATGGATGAATCAACATCAGAGAGTGATGATCCAACAAAGAACCGTCCTCTCTACCAGTACCATTGCTCTGTATGTAACAAATTTAGCACAGATGATTTAAAGGAACTGCAGTTACATCTGCAGCGTGACCGCAACCAGCCTTGTGAAGATCTTTGGCGCCTTGTTATTGGTGACCTACAGCAGTGCGTACTATGCAATTACAGCACGCATTTAAAAGCAAATTTCCAGCTGCATACAAAGACTGACAAGCATATGCAAAAGTTACAGCTGTTCAACCACATCCGAGAAGGTGGCAAGCAAAATGAATGGAGGCTAAAATATTTGAATGTTGGCAATCCCACCCAAGTTCGTTGCAATGCTTGTGATTTTTACACTTACAGTGTGGAAAAACTTGGAGCACATTCCCAGCCTGGTAACTATAGACATGAATCAAATATGAAAATGTTCAGAAGACTTCAGCAATTGAAGATAACTGTGAATTCAGATTCAAAGAGATTCCACTGTACTCTTTGTAATTATTCCACAAAGGGCAAGATGAATCTTATGCAGCATATCCAGTCAGTACAGCACCTAAGGAAGGAACAGGATACAGACGATGACAATTCACCAGCCATCACACCTCCATCACCATCATCTGCTGAAGGTGCATTGGATCTTTCAAAGAAAGACAAGCCATCACCAACTGGGATTGATTCAAAGGATTCTTCAGAAGAGAGTAACACAAGAAATCAGTCAGTCGAAGATGAAGAACACAACTCAAATACTAATCAGATATATAATTGCAGGTACTGCAAATATACCAGCATTGATCAGCAACGTATTACTGCACATGTTTTATCTCAACACAGCATCAAACCACCTGCTTTGCTACGTTGCCCTCTGTGCCAAGAAATCTGCACCAACAAGATTAATTTGGAGGTACATCTAATGGAGTCTCACAGCGTATCAAGAGAATGCATTCAACGTCTGATTTCATCGTTGGATTATAGTGAGTATGGAACAGGTGGCGGTTCAGTTATACCTCAATCTCAATCCCAATCCCAGTCACAAAAAGTAACCGAGACAGGAGTCACTGAAGTAGTAGAACGACCACCATCAAATTCAAGAGAATCTCCCTTTTCTGAGGATTCTGTAGATATTTACAGATGTCAGAAATGTCATCTAAAGTTTGCAAATATTGATGATCTTTATGCTCATCAGAATGATACATGTCCCTTGACTGAGCAGGACACACCAGGAGGCCCAGGCTTTCTTTGTTGGAAGAAAGGATGCAATCAGTATTTTAAAACAGCATCTGTTCTACAAATGCACTTTAAAGAGATTCATGCTAAGAAACACCAACTGCAGCAAAACTATAAATTCTACTGCAGTCAATGTAACCAGTCATTTCCAACAGAAGAGAGACTGGAGCTTCATGCTCAACAGCACTTGCTCAAAGAGGCCACCATCTGTAGCATCTGTCAACAGAACTTTCATACTTTTTCTGCTCTCCGTAAGCATCTAGAAAACGACCATCTGGAACTAAGCAAAGGAGACCTTCACAAATTTGTCAATGCTCTATCTGATTCAGAAAAGTTTTCAAACTCGGTGGAGGAAGCACAAGAAGCTGAGGCTGATGATGCTTCTCCAGAGTTGCCGAGCCACCATGGCTCTTCCTCAATTGACAGCATCTTTGCCAGTTGGAATGAAGAAGCAGAAAAGCCAACCGATGAAAGTTACACAGATGCCAATAAAAAGTTTAAATGTCATCGGTGTCACTATGGATTCAGACTTCAGAGTGAATTGTCTGCTCACAACAAGACTCTGCTTCATAGAAGAGGGGATAGAATACCATACACATTACCTGTTGTTGATAAATTCAACAACCCTAATCGACCATTCAAATGCGATGTCTGTAGGGAATCATTCACACAAAAGAGCATCCTGTTGGTTCATTTGAATTCAGTGTCTCATTTACACAAATTAAATAAGACATTGAGCAATGAATCAGAAGCAGAACCTATTGCTGAACTAAAGGATGAAAAGCCTTTTAAATGTGAAATCTGCAAAGTGGCTTACAGTCAGTCTACCACATTAGATATCCATATGCGGTCAGTTCTCCATAAAAGAAACACTGCAAAACATGCTGAAAGTAAAGCATCAGTAAACAACAATGAGCAGACTAAAAGCCCTACAATGTCTACTGCTGAGCCGCCACAGCAACAACATCAACCTTCTCTTGCAGAGAAAGCAATGGAAAAAATAGATGAAAAGCTGGAAGCTGAACGAGAGAAAATGAAAGAGGCTGATGTGAAGGTGGAACAACTATGTGATCAGGAGTTACATCAACAGCATCATAAGTTACAGCAACTGCATCTGCAATCAGCAAAGGATGATCTAAGGGGTGCCAGCATGGCACACTTTGCTGATGCACAAGCTCAGGCCCAAGCAATGGCCAACATGGCTGCTGCTATGATGCTGCATAATCCTATGTTGCCACAACAGAATCTGTATTGCTGTGACAAATGTACATCTGTGTTTGTCAGTCAAGAAGATTTACTGAAGCATCAACAGATGAGTTGCTATGCTGTTGATGAACCAGAACCTTTGTCTCCTTCCCAGCTTAGCCAGAAGATGATGGATCCAACACTGATGCTTAGACGGAGACGTTCAGCTATTCAAAGGCGTCTCCTAGAAGGTTATGGGTATGATCTAGTTCAGCAGTTTAATGAATCAGCACAGGGCTTACCAGCAAGCATTGCTGAGAAGGATAAATTTTCTTGTTTGGACTGCAAGAAAGAATTCTCTAGTATTTGGGTTTACAAGGCTCATGTAGAAGAAGTCCATAGGAGCTTATTGCCTAGTGATGATGTAGAAATGTATTCACAAGATTATAGAACGGAAGAATTTGCAATGGCACTTGCAGCTGAAAATGAGTCCAAGCCAAAAGCAGAACCAACATCCGTGAAGCAAGAGAAAGACATTGATAAACCAACCGGAACTGGTCAACCCTTACCGGGAATTACTCCCCAGCAGCTGAATTCAAAAGACCAGATCTTACAGAAGCAAGGATCACAATCCCAGCAGGAACAATCACAACATTTACAAGCTCAGATGACCGCTCAGGCACTATCAGCCCAGGCTATGGCTTCACAGCAGTTGTTTATGGCCAATTCATTCCCCTTTGGCATGGTGCCTCCAATGCAAGCCATGCTTCCTGGAGTACAGGCGGTATACCCTGTACCTGCCATGCCTCATATGCAACCAATACAATACCTTGATCCAAACTACATGCAGAAGTCTCCAAAACGAGCACGGACACGCATCAGCGATGATCAACTTAAAATTTTGCGTGCTTACTTTGACATTAATAACTCTCCAAGTGAGGAGCAGATTCAAGAGATGTCACAGAAATCTTGTTTGCCTCACAAAGTTATCAAACACTGGTTTAGAAATACGCTGTTCAAAGAGAGACAACGGAATAAAGATTCTCCATACAACTTTAACAATCCTCCAACCACATCTCTGCTAGAACCACCTGAATCACCGGTTATCAAACAGGAAAGCATGAAGCCACTAGCCCTTACAACAGCAGATTTGATACCTTCATCATCTTATGCACCAAGAAGTATGTCAATAAAGAGGCCATCAGAATCTTCTGTTTCGTTTGCCCCACCTCATGCATCAAGATCGGCCATTCTCTCATCAACTACCTCAGAAATCAGTATGAGTCCAGCTACCTCTCCTACTTTGATGTCACCTATACTCTCATCACCACCCTTCACATCACCTCTAACATCACCATGTGCTGCCACTGGCTCAGCACCTCAGAGCCCAAGTCACAGTTCTAAAAGGGCAGGGCGTACAAGATTCACTGATTACCAAGTGAAAGTCTTGCAGGATTTTTTTGAGTCAAATGCCTACCCGAAGGATGATGATCTGGAACACATGTCAAGGATGCTGAATCTGAGCCCAAGGGTGATCGTGGTCTGGTTTCAAAATGCAAGACAGAAAGCTAGAAAGGTGTTCGAGAACCAACCAGCACCTGAAGGTGATGGGGATGGAGATGGAGTAAGATATAAAAGAACCCCTGGTTTGAATTACCAATGTAATAAATGCTTCTTGGTATTCCAGAGATTCTACGAACTAATTCGTCATCAGAAATCCCAGTGCTTCAAAGAGGACAGTGGAATGGAATCGGCTTCAGAGAGCAGCCCATCTGGTCAGGAGATCCCAATCAATAAGTATTCAAATAAGAGACATGCTTCAACATCCAGTGTAGCCTCAGACTTGCCTACTCCTAAAGAGAAGCAGCCAAAACTGAATGCTGAATCTAGAGATGGTAAAGTTGGTAGAGATAGTAGCGATGGTAGAGATAGGGATGGTAGAGATAGAGAGAGTAGAGACACCAGAGAGAGCAGAGACACCAGAGAGAGCAGAGACACTGTCAAATCTGAAGAGAAGAGCAGCAGAAGCTCATCATCTGGACCTGTAGTGCACTACCAGTGTGAGAAGTGCAGTATGGTCTTCCCACACTTTGAACAATGGCAAGAACATCAACAGGTTCATATGATGGGCATGAATTTATTTGGTGGATACATGCAACCTCAGATGCCTTACAACATGATGTACATGCCTTATGAACAGGGTATGACTCCTGAGCAATACTTCAACTACATCACTGGTAAAGAATTGGCTGCAAAGTCACCATCTAAGAGGAAACATTCAGAGGCCAGTGATGAAGCATCTGGTTCGACATCTTCTGACCCATCAACAGAAATGAACACCAGCTCGGCAGATCAACCACGAGACAAACGTCTGAGAACTACTATCTCAGCTGCTCAACTTGATGTGTTGTACAACAAATATCAGGAAGATAGTAACCCTACAAGGCGTATGTTGGATATGATATCTAAGGAGGTTGGCTTGAAAAAGAGAGTTGTACAAGTATGGTTTCAAAACACCAGGGCTAGAGAACGCAAAGGCCAATTCCGTATGAGTGCACCAAATAACATCCACAGACGTTGCCCATTCTGCAAGGCACTGTTTAAATTAAAGAGTGCACTTGAAGGCCATATAAAAATACACCACAGTGACCAACAACTAACACCAGGAGCTATTGACAGCATTCTAGCACAGTCACCATCTCAAGTTAGCCCAGGGCCTATCATTGATAATGAACAGGCTATGAATTTATGCATGAACAAATCTGTGAACCGTGATGGAGACATATCGGATGAATGCAGCAAGTATGACATTAGTAAAGTCAAGAGCGAATGTATTTCTCTTGGCAGCAGCAAGTATGAAAGCTTGGATGTGAAAACTAATGGTTCTGTTGAAGTGGATGAGGATATAGAATCCAATATAGATGATGATGACTTGGCTACAATTGGAACCAAGGATTCAGACCTCATGTCACCAGTTGGAAGCATGCTCGGAGATGAGATTGTTGAAACGGCACTTTCAGAGACTGGTTCTGTCGGACCGAGTGAGGATTCTATTAGTATGGCAGATGAATCAGATAGTCAGAAATCAAAAGATTTTACCAAGCGGTATCGGACACAGATCGGTCCATCACAGTTGAAAGTTTTGAAGCATTGCTATGGTGACTACCGCACCCCAACAATGCATGAATGCGAGTTGCTGGGACGCGAGATTGGTTTACCTAAACGTGTAGTTCAAGTGTGGTTCCAGAATGCAAGAGCAAAAGAGAAGAAAATCAAAACTAATTTCACCAAACAGATTGGACTGATGAGCTCTGGAGAAAATGAAGAAGGAAGCTGTAGGCTGTGTAATGTGAATTACTCATTGAATATGTCGGTCAGAGATCACATCTTTACCGAGATGCATATTCGTAACATTCGAAGAAAGGTTGGCAAAGATATACCAGAAACAGACACGTATACTGGTGAAGGCTCCCTAGTTGATCATGCATCTGCACAGAGTATGATGGCAAACCAAGCTGCTTTGATGCAACAGAGTATGCTGTCACCAATGGCAGCAGCTCAGATGCAAGCAATGCAGCAAGCGATGTCTGCCCAGATGTCTGCCCAGATGATGTCTCCACAGCTACAACAACAGATGCTCCGTGCTGCACAAAATGAGGCTGTTGGCAAGATCAAGAAGGAGAGTGGAGTTGATGAGAAAGGTGAAGCCAGAAGCCCAAGTGCCTCCTCCTCTGCCTCTAGTGGAGCAGCTGCTGTTGCAGCACAGATGAACATGGCAGTCGCTAGAAATGATGCAGCTCTTGTACAGTACCTCTATGGAACCTTCGCACCATACTATGCACAAATGCCGTTCATGTATCCAGCCATGTATGCTATGGGTGGTAATGAGGCTTTCTATCCTTACGACCCGTCAACAATGCAAGGTGCCATCCCTCCTCAGTTGCTTCAGTCATATGGTGGCCTAGCCGCTGCTCAGGAAAACCAAACCTCATCCCCAAAGCCTGAAAAAGCTCCTAGTAAAGCTCCTTCATCCACCTCCTCTCCATCATCATCATCGACATCATCAAAGCAGGAGACAAAATTTTCCAAGGACAAAGAAGGATTAATTCTTCGACCAAAATCTTCAACTAACCGGTATCTTTGCAAGAAATGTGAGCGTGTGTTTACGGACCGGGATTCAGTCACTTCCCACCAAGTGACTGCATGTTATATGGGTCAAGTGGTAAACATAGAGCAGACTGTTGAAAAGCTGCCGTCCAACCGTTTTCTATGCCAGGCATGTCCTCGAGAGGCTTTAATAACAGAAGAGGATGCGATGAAACATTTGGAGAGCAGTAAACATAGGAACCAAGTTGAACAACACCTAAAGACCAAGACATCAAATTCTACCAAAAAGGATGATTGAAGTATTCTTAAGGACATTCAGATAGAAAATTGAACATTTCCATGTAGAAAAAACTGACCAAAATTCAGTAAGCATGATCAGATGGAGCAACCATGTTTGTCTTTAGAGAGAAGCCATGTTTGTCATGGAAATGAAGTGTTGTCAAAATTTTGAAGAGAGATGCATTAAGGGACTGATTGCAATTAAAATGAAAGCGAAAAGTGATTCTAATAGTCATGTATATGTTTTAGCTGCAAGACTTTATTATCAATATGCAAACAGTCTGTATAAGGATATCAGATCAATTTTTTTCTGTTGAGTAATTATAAGAAATATGTCATACCCATCAGAGATTTAATAACGGATTTATATCATTGTGGATATGCGCTTGTACTGTAATTATATTATATTTTTTTGAAAAATTTTATTCTGTGGTGCTGCTGATGGGTTTTTAGTATAATCTCGATAGATAGAAGAAATATTCATAAAAAATGTATAATTATTTCTCTGCGTTTAATATTTCCAGTAAATTTGGAATACATTTCCCCGGTATAGTATGAGCTTATATATTGCGATATTAATGAAATGAAATTAAGGTTCTTTTTTACATAGATACCTTCTGCTTGGATTTTAAGTGTGTTCGATTGTTATGTTAATAATAATAATATTGTCAGCATGGCTTATATTTTAATATATAATGCGAATATTTTAAAGTTTTTGTTGATAAATTACTATAGTATCACATGAGGTGATCGCGTGATTCAGTGCGATTTATTTGTTCAGTTTACCCGCAAATCATTGTTCAAAATCGAAAGATTTTTACAAAGGGTAGAACAATCATGAAGAGTAACGTGATGTTACGTTGCAAGACATAGAATATATTTCTTGGCTGAAATTTCAATTATTAATCATGTCCATAGTCGTTGTCAACTGACGAGTGAAGCGACATTTTTAAATCTGCCCTCTATTAGTCTATTCCATGTAATTAACATTCATCTTAAGGTTGATTTGTGTACAAACTTAAGAGGGTGCTCTGTTTATGCATTTGTTTAGCTGTCTCACGAAGACGCTAAACTCCCTTGATGTTAGGCTGAAAAGATATTTTAATTTTTTTTTTTATAATCTGCATGAATTTTAAATAATTTTATCACCTTTGTTTAAATTTGTTTTTTAATTTTGTATGTTTTCTTTTCATATTGACATAGATTCTATAACCATATTAATTTTTTTAAATTTTATTTTGTATTAAAGTGTAGTAGCAAATTTATAGAATAGAGAATTTAATGCTTTGACATATGTTAATGCTATTAAATAGGGAGATATATTTTGCTAGTTTGAAGGCTACCTTCTGTAAATCATTTATATAATCAATTTATCAATAAGATATTCATTTTGTTATTTTATAACCCGCAGTGTATTTTAAATTTTAGTACTTTGCATGCTATGCTTATTGCTACCTTGAATATTCAAATGACCATATGAAGGTCATGATTGGTGAATCTTTCCTTAGATAATACATATTCATGACCAATAATGAGTACTACTAGTCTGTGATTGGTCAATTGCGAAATGAAATGATGTAATGCTGCGGCCATTTTGTGATGTTTTTAGCTTATGTACTGTACTTCACTGTATCCCTTAGCTTGTGCTGCATATTATTTTGTATACTGTTTGTGTATTAATTGTTTTATTGCTTAGGGAATCAACAAATAGAGTCAGAAAAAATATGTATGTGATTATTCTCAAGTCTGCTAAAAGCAAAAAAAAGTCGAATGTAGCTTTTTAATACATGTAAGAGTGTTGCAAACTATAATGGAGCTCATAAATCTTTTTATAAGTAAATGAAGAAACCGACATGATGTCAACAAAAAAATGATAATAATAATAATTACTGTGTGATTAAACTATATGATAATAGTAGATTTGAAAACAATTGAGTAAGTGGTGTATATATTATAAGCTCCATGAACATCCTGGTTAGTAAGAATTCTGGGTAAAAAATCTGTAATATATACGCACATGTGATGGGTCTATAGCCTATAAACAGACAAGACCATATTAGTATGCTACTTTGAATATCTTGATTATCAACCATGTTTTACCGGTTCCTTATGTTCATGACACTCAATCAAATTATATGTAATGGGTCATGTGATATCAAAGGTATGTTTAAGTGTTTTTATAGGTTCACCTCTTAAGAAATGAAGACCAGTGATTTTGTTTTCCTAATAGCAATTTGTATGCATATTTCATTTTATAAATCGTTATTTTTCCATAGTTTTATTTCTCCGATTTTTAATTTCAAAATTATTCTTGTATATTCAGTTTTATACATCCTGATAGTTTCTACCTTCTGACCAAATTGGTGTACGAAGTTTACATATGAGTGCTTGTGAGGGCGCTATTTAATCGGGTGCATTCTTACTCATTTTTTTTGTCATGTTTGTATGTGCGTTTGTGTTGAATTGTCTCTAGTAGGCATCCGTACTACGTGTGCCGTTGTAGCGGTACAAAACCCTTGTTAATTCTCACTTTAGTGGTAGACATGCCAAACCCCTTTATATAAATGGTCATGTTATTAAAACGTCATACATTCAATGACAAGAAACTAGTTAATTGTACCTTTCTTTTTTGTGTGTGCAGAGTATTTGCAAGAACAATTGCGGTTATAAACTGACCAATGGCTGACAAGTCTAGTGGTCAGGATAATGGGCAGCTAAAAAGGTAGTATAAGAGATCTAGTATGCAGGGCCTCTAAAGTAATAATGATCACTTCTTTTCAACACAGGATTTCAAGACAGTTGTCATCAATGCATAGTAAAAACACTGAAATTAAGTAAATTTGAACATCAATATATATTTTCTGCTAGAAATCAATCTTACAAACTATACAATAATAGCAATGTAATTGCTTAAGTCACAATTGGGTTTGCTTGTTAAGGGGGTTTGCTGAAAGAGGGGTTCGGTTGAACCCCAGGAACCTGCCTGCCTGATACAATTCGCTAGTGTGTGTGTGTGTGTACAAAATTTAGACAAGCAGAAATACTGTATGTTCGATTGTGCAGATATGATTTTTTGGGTGAAAAGTGAAATAAAATGGTGCCAATTATTTAAAAGGACTATCAACACAGAAATGTATACACTACAAGTACAGTATTGTCAAAGAATTAAAGGAACAATGAAATTGCAGAATAATAGTGCTGTAATGTTTATGGATACAATAACAACACAGACTGAAGATTCTATAAGAGAATATTAAAAAAGACAGTATCAAAAAATGATGACAACACAGACAACGATGTTACAATTTATACAATATCAACCTAGAATGAATGATGAACCTGTAAAAGTGAACATTTAAAAAGACACTACAGTATTAAAACGAAGATGTAACCTTGGAGGTTCTGCTACAATTGAATTTTTTTTTAAATATCAAAACAGGAAGAATAATGTTACACTGTGCAACTAAAAGAGGCAATATACCAACAGAGAATTCAATGACACTACATGTGAAACATTTAAAAGTAAAATTTCAGATTAGTGATATGTCTACAAGTTCAACATTTAAAGGACAATATTAACAGAGAAATTGACACTACAATTGTAACAGTCAGCTGTTCAAAAGGAGTCGGTGGTGTTGGCTTGTACGGTCCAAGTGGAAATAATAAACCAGTTGCCTTATCAATAGATCCCAGTTGCCAACAGTGGTGGCACCAGGGGTTTTCCATCTGGGGGAGGGGGTAAGTTGTCCAACAGGAGGTCTTCGGAGCTGCAATGGAGATCAGGGGGATAAGCCCTTGCTGCCCAGAAAAACTGATAATTTTAACCTGTTCTGAGACCGGTACAGTAATATGCTACAAAAAAAAAAAAAAAGTTTTAATTCTAATGGGATATTTGGCCTGTCCAAAAGTCTCCACTAGCACCACCACTGGTTGCCAAGCAAAAGGAGCTACAATGATGCATTCAAGCCAATCTCACCCCATGGATATTGGATTGTTAGTTGTCTTTAGCTCATCTCAAACAAAGCCATTATGTAAGGATGTCTTTTTTTATCCTTCCGTCAGCTATAGCTTTTAGTATGACTGTCATATCTGCTATCAATCATATGCAACTTCCTGTCTACCCATATCATATTCATAATTGGCCTTAATGCTAGGCATATTCTTTAAAAGAGGCAGCCTATCATTTAAGCAGCCATCAACGAATGCTTCTTCTCGAGAATCAATTCTGAGTACACCCATATTTCATTACCGTCGAGATAACAGAAGAGATAGATATTACGGCATCTAAATGAAAACTTACGTACTGTCTTAAATTGATGCTCAATATAACAAGATATATTAGTAGCATACTAAAATCAATTTTGACTTACCCTATATTATATTATATTACATCGTTCAGCCAAAATTATCCTAATTGAAATTTTTAAGAAAAAGCCTTTTCGAGAATATCATCTCGTATAAAGATGCTCGGAACCAGGTCGTTACAATGATAAATGAAACAATCTTAAAACGTCAGCCAATTTTCGCCATAAAGAATATCTTCCTATAAATTGTTACACATTTTATCGCGCAAATGAAATTACTGATATTAGCTGTTTGAAATGTATGCTTTTTATTTTTCCTGGAAATCACGTACAAACAAGTGAAACAATTTTATGTATTATTTTTTTTAATCAGTTTATTTCATCTTCTGCATAAAATTATTATACACCCCTCTCTTAAACCCTTTGCATCCACACCCACAAAAAAAACCAAAAAAAAAACCACAAATATACACATAACATGCTTATGTTGAAAAGAGAAAGATAAAAATAAAATTATTGATTCATTGATATTTCTTTTCAAGGAAAGCACCTGTATTATGTATAGCCTTCTATTTATATGTGGGTTCCCCATCATTTTGAATACCCAACATCAGAGGATACTTCAGAAATAAAGGCAGTCAGCCAAAGTGATATGTGCTGGAGGGACAAGACCCATCTCATAAACCAGAGTTGACAAGCTTATAGATGACAGCTTCAAGGGAAAGAATAAGAATTGCATTCTAGGTATGTCTTGGACTATGTAACATTTAGAAGATGGTGAGAATGTAGGCCACCCTCATGTGATTTGATCCCATTTGGTCAGCAACAGTTCAGGAGGAATATGCAAGGAGTAGTGACAACCAAAATGTGAGTATGTGTTAAAATCTGCAAAGGGTATGCTTAAAAGTTGTCGAAAGGTAAGAAAAGTAGATTTACAAATGTAGGAATTGTAATATTTGTTTTAATGTAGGCCCCATTTATTTGCACCTTATCAACTCTCTTTGCCTTGCATCCTCCTATTTCCCATCTTCGTGTTATTAAACTACCAAATCTCTCATTAATTCCATAAAGCAAGTACTGTATAAGCTAAAATATATATAAAAAATAACATTTAAATAGTGTACTAGTTTTTCCAAATAAAAATCCAATTGAAGTCATCTGTGTCATTTTTGCAAGTGAAAACAAGTATTTTCATTAATGACGAAAAGTATTTACAAGCATTATTATTCAACATCTGATTTGCCATATTTTAGCCTAATTATATTTAATGAGGATAATCAATTTAGCAAAAATTTAGTTGGGATGTTGGCCTTTTCTAGATGGATGACTGTCTACTCCCCAGAAATGATGTGGTGCAATTTAGATTGTTAATGTTAAAATAATTCCACAGCACATTCATAAAAAAAATAATTGTTTTTAACAGGTCCTTCATAATAATTTTTAGAATGTCAGAAAATAATTTTACAGCGTCGAATATTATATTAAATTCATCAACTGCTTTGGAATTGCGTTCTGAAGATGCTTAAGTTTGAGCAAAAGGTAAGCGGATTACTGTACAAGATAATCGTTAATGAGTTGGAAATATAATGCATAGCTTACAGTTTATATATTTGTATAGTTCTCTACACTGTCAAGAGAATATTGCACAGAATTAAAGATTTGTTTCTGTTATTAAATTAATATTCAAATGTATACTGCCCCAACCCCAAAAAGAAAAGTAAATAAAATAAGTAAAAATCTAAAAATTGAAATAAAATTTTTGAAATGTTTATTTAAAACAACCTCATGTTATGAATTTTCAATAAATCACAGATTAAAACAAATCTGTTTTTAATTGTTTATAAATGTTTTACTACTAAAATCCTTAGAATTCTGTCTGACGGCCTAGTGTTTCTGACATGACAAAATACTCAAAAAAACAACTAAGCTGGAGAAAAAAATTACTGGTTCTGACTTTAAAAATTTGGTTAGCAAAAGCTATATTTTAAACAAGTGAAACCACAGGGTAAGTACCAAAGCTTTCCGACAACACAAGGCCTTCGTCAGCGGCAAGCAATTATTATATTGTTATATATATATTCTGTTCTATAAGTCATTAGAATGGCATCCTGTTATTGGCGTCATGTTGCTACATGTGCCAGCACAAAATTCTAATCAAGAAACTCAAATAAAGAAATCTGACATCTATGTCCCAAACGCTTGTTACATTTTTGCTGTACCTAGTTATAAATTATGTTTCATTAAACCCAGCAATTTGACCAGGCCTTTAGACACAATGACTGCGTTTGGTGAACCTAGGTGAGAATGGGTATGCAGTCTTATGGACGTCTGTAACTGCAAACCCTTGATAAAGTATGTACTGTTAGTATGCATATTTAGCTCACTTGCTTTCATGCAGAACTTAATCACAGCTAATCAGTGTACGACAAGGACCTGGATGTTTCATTTCAATAGGGATTAATGCAGATGCAGTATAAATTTTGACTTTAATTTTGAGAGAAATTATTTTTTTGATTGATTGTGGTCATTTAAAAATGTGAGGTCTGTAGTTGTATGGTATGAGAATGATGATAATGATGTTATTGATTATTATGATAATAACAATGATTATTTGATGGTGATTATTATACGGATAGTAATAATAATAATAATGTTATTAAGAATATCAAGTTTCTTCAATATTATTACTGTAATACTAATAATAAGAATGATAATTTATTATTATTGTTTTCATTAATTTAATAATTTATTTTATAATGGAAAACTTTCACCAAGAAGTAATTACCGTGATTTAATATTTCTTTAAATTTTCAGGGGTACTGTAAGTCGGACAGCTTGATGGTTAAGCCTTGTTTTCTATTACATTTATCTGACTCAACAAATTACATTAAAGGATTTAAGTTGTTCTAGGCATTGAAACTGGGTTGCTTGTACAAACCAACTGCCAGCATCTTTAAATACAAAACTCTCTGATGAAATGTGATGGGGAAAGAATCAAGTTTGCATAATTTAACTCTAATTCAGCATTAATGAAAAGTGGGGGTATTTCAACAAGACATTGATTTACCTAGAAAATAATTTTTAAAATGTTGTCTAGCCTACTGTGCTTTTTTATATTGTTGCCTTGAAGACTTCAAAATGTATTTATATTTGGTCCATAAACCTATCTTAGATTATAGTCTTAGTGTATTTTTTCTGTTATTTTTTCAAGGATTTTTGCATATAATGTACTGTAGCTAACGTCTCTCTCCAAAAAGCTCAGATTGAAACAATTATTTGTTTCTAAAAACGATAATTTAACCTTT